GTCATACGTGACTTTTTCAAGGACAATTGTCTTATATAGGAAGAAAAGCTTAAATTCTGACAAGCCAGGCTTTTCTACTCATTCGGAACGCTCAGATCTCCCTTAAGGATGAAGGTTAACTTGAACAGTAGAGAGAATCCAATTTCAAAAACTTGGATATTTGTAGATGGCTCTGAACATCTAATTCTTATCCTTTGTTCATGAGAAGATTCCCTTGAAGTTGCTTTGCTGCGCCTGCCTTTGTGGGTCACTATGGTACGATCAGATCTGCGAGAAACAAAGATCGAATTACGGATCTTAGGCACTGTTACGGATCGTGCCAATCTCATCACGGACGGTACAAATCCGAATGGTTCGTATGGTGCAGCAGGAAGTGAAGCACCAACTACTGCCACGATGATTACGATGGTAACCAATGAACGGCTGGCTTCAAGAGTTGAGGTAAAACTCCTCTGTGTTTCTTTTTTTTCTGGGCTTTGTTTTTCCAGTGAACTTTCTTTTTGGTTTGTTAGGTAAATATATACACGATTTGCATCGATTTCTAAGGGCCGCGATTGGAATCGTCAAGAATTTTGAAAAGTTTCCAAAGGCGCAAAAAAAAATCAATTGAAGTTTGTGATGAAAATTCCGGGTGGGAGGAAGACGGGAAAAGGACTTATCTGGCAAGTAATTTTAAGTTTTTGGAATGTTTCGTGTGTGCAGTTTTGGAGCATATGAGAGAAGGCCAAAAAGTTGAAAGGAATGTGATTTCAATAGCGATATGGCGCTGGTAAAACGGGAGGAAATTGACAAGGGCCAACATTTTCGAATAACCTTTTGCGATTCAAGCGAAGTCGTATGAACAAGAATCAACAATTGATCAGTTCGCTACGTATATCTTTGTTCGGGACGGAAATCGTAGGGTAGTGGACCTAAGTTTTGACTTTACCATGCGGTCTTCAAACCTCAATAGTTAACTTGGAAAATTTAGGAACCAATTACTTCGATTGTTGATTATTTTACTCCTTCAGCTCTTCGCTCCGGGAAAGCTGTTATACATTGCTGAGGATGAGAATTTGGAGGGTGGAGTATCTAGTCAATGGATCGATCCGAAGTGAGTTGCCGTTTTTGCTATATGCATAATCTTGCTCTAAAGTAAGCGGCGCAGTACCTTTAATGTTTCCATTTTGTGAGTACGAAAGCTTTCAACGACCCATAGCACATCATCTTTGTGACCTCTTCGGGTAAACAGTTGTTCTAGTTGGACGTCCATGATTTCGGATTGATTATCTATGATACCTTTCTGGTTTTCTTAACCGTCAAGGTTTCGAGTGGAGTTTTCCATTCGTGATTGATCTTTTTCATTCTGAAAGTGGGTCAGGCACCTTCTGAATGATCAAAGTGTACTTTGGTTCAGACAGCAACCACTGTTACTTTTACCATATTCAGGCCTACGGAGAGACTCTTCCTTGTTCTACAGTGGGCGTTAGACAGATTGGTCAGCATGTTCAGATTGCTAATACTGTTTTATACCTTATGTGTTTACTGTGTGGAACTTTTTGTTAGCTCTGCTTGTGAAGATCGACAGTTTGACTTTTTGAACGGAACTATTCGTCAGATCGTTAATCATTCGCAAATCTTGATCAGTTGTATAGTGGGTGTGTGAACTTCATTGGAATTCTATTGTTACGGCCTGTTATTCTGCCAGGGAAGATATTGATTACCTCCTAGTTTTGACTCTGCAAAGTGAAAGCCTCTGGAACGTGCGAGGCACGAAGCATCTCACAACTGTAGTAAAATGTCAAGTTTACAAGGAATTAGGTCATGTTTTGATTGTGAACGGTAGTGAAAAGAGATGGCATGGCGCATAATATCGCTGCTGACCTCGTTTGAGACACGACCTTCGTACCCATATCTTTTTTGCCAACCATGAGAAGTTTTTTTTTTTCAATAGACTGTTTTTTCTTTCAGATGCCTGACAGACGTAAAATTGACAGCCTCAGCTCTGACCGATCACCTGCCAAAAAGCGTCGAACGGATGCTTAAAAAGGTCGTAGAGGCGGGCGACAGTGGTTCTGCTGGCCACGACGACACACCCTCGGACTCGACCACCAACAGTCCCTCTATAGCTACCGCGGCCGCCATCTCNGATACCGGCACCCAACATCATACTCCTCGGGTCGTTATTATTGACCCGGCTAGGAGTTCACGATGACATAACCGCATATGTACCTTTCATGCTCGTCTGTAGTTGAGTTTGCAAAACTTTTTTTCTATCGCTCCTTTAAATTTACATAATTTGTATAGTGAAGTGATCCTTCTAGCTAATAACGATAGCTCTGTGATTTAGCACTGGTGTCCGACTGTGTGTATACTAGTCACTTTACTGCTTATCTTTGTGCCAATGGTAGGTGATATAAGGATACCGTGATCAGGAACATGGGGCATAGTTATTTTATTATTTGCCTTTAAGTGTTGATGTAAATAGCCAGGGATAACACACAGATCTACAAATGAGGTGTTAGATAAGCTATGGACATAAGTGCACGGGATTTGGTAAGATTATCGATTTTTATGTGGGAGTTTTTCAAAGGCACGTACTATTGGGTGATAATTAACATAGAATTGGTAGATAACCATTATTGATTTGTTCCTACACAGCTGCACCTTGTTCCCATCAAACTAAATACTTGGCTAGATCGCTGATGTAAGCTGTCTTCAAATCGCCATCATAGCTTTACAAATTCAATTGTAAGTAGTTTTCAAGGTTACTATTATGGTGCCCATTCTGTGATGTTTCCGGTGTGTTGGCAATGCTAATGATGTCCTTTTACAACCAATTTTTTCGAATCATTTTTGCAGTTACTTCTTTCTCACAGTCTCTCGTGGCAATTAAAGGCATAGTGATTGTCTGATTGGTCTTCTGATCAGCAATGGAACCTTTCTGATTGGTCCATTACCGATCTTCTTAGTGCTATTTGGTCAAAAGCGCGTTTTTCAGGGAAACATGCGGAATGTTTCGATGAAAAAACTCTAAGACTGCTTAAACATATGCACACTATGTCAATAAAATGGCTGCAGACATTGTTGAAAACGGTATTAACTGCTAAAGGTAACAGGTACAATGGGTGCGGAACAAATTTGGAGGCTAAGGTGGTCTAACCCAGCCCAGACTCTTTGCTGAGCATCAGACAATTGTCCAAGTTAATGAGGATTGTACTGGGACATGTCAGCTCCGCCTCCAGATTTTCGGTGCGCCCAGCGTACCCACGTTTCCTAAGCCTAAGTAATTGTATCTGTTCTCCTTCCTATAACATCCATTAATTTCATTTATTTGAATGCTCTCCTCTGTCTGCTGTTCAGCTTCACTTTTCTGATTTGTATTTATACTTGGAACCGATGAAGAATTCTAAATGCAGATTTTTCATTTATTCGTTCGAGGTCAAGTTTCCTACACTATGCCTCGGTGTTTCAGATGAGCGATTTGGAATTGAGCCAAGCCTGCGCCGGCGATTTGGTGTTCCTTGCCAAAGAAACATCCGCATGCTCATTTGAGCGAGCGGTCAGCGACGTCGCTTCGTCGCCATACTATCATGTGGCCATCGTCGGACGTGACAAGCGACTGCTTCATGCATCAACACGCGGCGTTCTCAGCCAGTCATTGGAGGAATTCCTCAACGAATATGAACCGCATCGCATGGAAATCGTTCATGTCAAGGCACCCGAAAAGGCTAAGCGCGATGCGGCTGCGTTCGCTGAATCGAAAGTCGGCATGCCATACAACGATATATTCACTCCGAATCGCATAAATTCTCAGGGGCAAGAGTCCTATTACTGTAGCCAATTGATCACCGAAGCCTACGATGGGGCCGTTCATTTTCCTGAACATAAACTGAATTTCAAAGACAAGGATGGTGATTTCTTAGAGTATTGGCTGAAGTATTACAGGGAGAGGGGTATTGATATCCCCCAAGATGATCAAGGTTCTCATCCAGCATCACTTCGTAGGTCGCCACTGCTTGATATGAAGCTCACCAGACACCTGCAGAAGAAGATACTGAACTGTAAGAACGTCACCAATGCACTGCATTACATTGGTGGAGCTGCCGTGAGATTGACCACTGGGAAGAAATTCCAAGTGATTGAGCCGAGAAGTGGTGAGATTTTCTATTATTTCATTTGATTTTTCAATATTGCTATACTACAAAACGCGATTTGGGACATTTCACTGGTCTGATAATCCTGAAAGACTCCAGTTCCGGATATTATGGAGTTTTCATAATAATTCTGCAAAAAAAGGGCGGTGGGGGGNGGGGGGGCACCTTTGCGTGAGTCTTATCTGATTCACGATGTAACACGCTTCTGAACCAGAGCTTTCGCTATTGTGTACCAACTATGAAGCTGATTTTCATCGACCCAAGGATTCATCAAGCAACGGGTAAACTGAAATACGGCCTTGGAAACAGCGACTAACGCAGTTAGAAATTTGTTAGGATGTAAACCTTTCTTTCAAGGCGATTATGATGAGTGCTCAGATGGAAGAGTTTAGCGCTCACTGAAATTGTAGGATCCACATTGACGGAATGTCATGCTGCAACACCGGATGAGGTCGACCGAGCCGTTGCTACAGCACAGGAAGCCCAGAAAACGTGGTCCAAGATGGGATGGCTTGAAAGAGGTCTTGTGCTGAGAAATGTTGCAAAGGTACTGCCTCAATGAGAAGGAAATACTCTGGGTTACTGAACTTTGCGTTTTAGCTACTACGGGAGCACTGTGAAGTGATTGCCAGATGGGAATGTATCGACAGCGGAAAGCCGATCACTGAAGCTCGAATGGATGTGCTTAGTTGTGTGGATACGTTCAACTACTATGGAGGAGCCAGTAAGGACCTAATTTCAAACATTTCACCTCTAAAAGGCTCTTTCAACTCTTTTGTGTTTCTTCAGTCTATTCCCAAGCCGGCCAGCATATTCCGTTGGGAATTGAGCGCTTCGCCTACACAAAAAGAGAACCTTTGGGTGTTGTTGGATGCATTGGTAAGGCTTTTTCAATTTTTTGATCTCAAAATTTATTTTTATTTCCATTCTTAAAGAAAAAGTTTTTGATACACAGCGTTCGATTTAGTTTTTCGGTGTGTGATGGACAGAGCCGGAAAAGGTAACGCACACACGTGCATGCGTAGCGCCCATGAGTAATGATGCAGCAGCAGAGTGAGAACAACTCATGTAGTACCATTAGCTGCAAGGGCGTAGCCCGAGTAAACGCAGTAGGTAGAGCTTTACCCACTACTAAATTTCTCTGGGATCCTCTTGGGTGTCTCTCCTCTCTCCCTTAGGCTACCTGCGCGCGTAGGTTGTTGTTGAGTAAGTTTAAATGTTGTGCGTTTAGGTACATGGAACTATCCGATACAAACCTGCTCATGGAAAGTGGCACCAGCCCTGGCATGTGGCAACGCCGTCGTTTACAAACCAAGTCCCCTAGCCCCGATTTCTGCTGTGATTTTGGCCCAAATATTGCAGTTGGCTGGTTTGCCCGAAGGCACGTTCAATGTGATTCAGGTAAGATTCAATATTTCCTCCCAGAATTCTGGAATTGAAGTTATTTAGTCTTACTTTTGTGGTTTTTGGAAATTACTTCCCCTTATTGGCAGCGTAGAAACGTCCCTAAGCGAATCCAGCACAGCGCCACAACTACACAAAATAGCTCTTCTGGCTCCTGGAATTTGGGCCTAACGTGCTATGCTTGCAATCAATGGATTTCTTCAGAAAATGTCAAGGTATATTATTTTAGGGTGACGCAGAGACTGGCCAAGCTCTTGTTCTACATCCTCTTGTCAAGAAGGTCTCCTTTACAGGAGCTGTCCCGACGGGTAAAAAAATCATGCAGGTGGGTACGGAAATGTTCTATAAGTTATGACCCTCCTAATTAATTTTCATTTTTAAGGACTGTGCAGCTCGAAATGTGAAACCAATTACACTGGAATTGGGTGGTAAAGCATCCTTAATAATCTTCGAAGACGCCGATATTGAGTCTGCTGTCGCGGGTGCAATGATGGCAAATTTTTACAGTCAAGGCCAAGTTTGCACTAACGCTAGTAAGGTATGCTCTCTTTGAATCAATATCATTTTGTGCTTATTTTTTGAATTTTCGGCTTAATTTCCGCCCAAATAGTTTGCCATTCCATTAAATGCCAATCCATGGCAGATATCAGTGGTTATTTGAGAAATGTACTTCGAATAAGCGCTTTCCGCACGTGGAAAGTACAGCTTCCTTATGTATTATGTGGGAGTAGTGCGTTCTGCCTTAAATCAGCACCTTCATAACGGTAACTTTTCACCCTGGTGCTTGTCTGATCAAATAATGACTGATAGTAGTCTTGTATTTCGCTGATAACCTCTACCTCCCTGTAGGTACTTGTGCACCGTTCAGTAGAAGACAATTTCGTCGCCTCATTACGAGAGAAGACAAAAGCGATGAAAATTGGCGATCCCCTCGAAGAGACGACGCGAGTCGGTGCCCATATTTCGCGCGAACACATGGAGAAAGTGAAAAAGTATATCGATGGTTAGTGCTTACTTTGATGTTGTGAGTGTTTCTTAGATTTGTAGTTTTAGGCTTATTTTAGATTAGTTCTAGTATTAGTATTAGTGTTGGTAGAATGCTAGACTTTCGGGTCCGGTATCTTCCCCTGAAAACGGCATGGAGTTCGCCGCACCCGATCGCGCGCGGTCGCACGCTTTGAATGGGAAGGTTTGGTTTCCTAGTGGCTGCTTTCATAGTCCGCGATTTGGCCCGCGAGCGCGCGAACGAGCGACGGGGGACTACTCGTCCGGCGGTATCGACCAAGATACAGTTGTAAACAAGGGGCAAGCGCCGCCCCCGTCGCTCGCTTGCGTGCTCGCGGAGCAAATCGCAGACTATGAAAGCAGCCAGTGCAAGGATAGGGTAGTCGCCGCGTGACCTTTGCCGCTTGTCGTGGGAATTCGCGGAGAAGTTCCGGCCTACTGGGCTCCCGCATGCTATTGCCGACTCTTGCAGTTCAATGTTATCAGTTTTTGAAAACGGGATAGGACCATTCATATGTGAAGTCGCTTGATTTCGTGGCGTATTGATATAATGAATGTTTCGGACATGCGACTTTTCGGCCAAAGCAAGCGAGTGTGCCTTGTTGGACGAGCTGTCCCGGTAAACCTACCGTAACGCTTTTCTCGGGTTTCAATACTAATTGCTGATGACATCACCTGATTTTGCTGCGTATACGCACCCTGTGACAAAGCAATTGAGAGAATTTTCATGCCTCAGAGGGCATCGTGATGGGATCTTGTACTACAGGATGTGTGGCTAAAAAATGCATCGAGAAGCGCAACTCTGTTTTGTTTTCTCAGGCTTAGGTCTTCGCAGTCTCTTGCGTCTAAATTACCTCTGGTCTTCGGTTTGCCTTCTTCTCCTGGATGAACGGATCGTCTGTAAAGGCTGTTACTACTGACGTTGTTCGGTTTCAGGTGCAAAGGCGGCAGGTGCACGTGTCATCTGTGGAGGCGAGCCAGTACAAGTTAACGGCCTCGAGGCGGGTTTCTACCTTTCACCGTGTATTCTCTCCAACATCCGTAAGGACATGGACGTCTATCGGTACGAAACTATAATCTTTGGTGTTATGTACAGCGTTGATATGCAAGTGTTTGTTGCAGTGAGGAGATATTTGGCTCAGTTCTTCTTATCATCCCCTTTGATACTGAAGAAGAAGCGATTGGTATAGCCAACGACACGACACTGGGTCTTGCCGCTGGTCTTTTTACCAAGTGAGTGCGCTAAAAAGTATTATTATTCTAATATTAACCACACGAAGTGTTCTGCGTTCAAAAATGTCAGAACACGTGTTGGGGGATCGAAACCTTCGTGCGACGAATGAGCACCTCGGTCCCAAGTAATCCATTCTACAGCGCAAATACTGGTTGTCGCGCGGTGCATGAATCCATGGCGCATTCCTTCGGATCAGGCGTAGTACATTCTTTTGCTGTTAGTGTAATTGATGTATTTGATTAGGTCTAAATAACGACCTTTAACGAAGGTTCAGGGTAATTTTTGGTCTAAAAAGTTGGCGGGTCGCTTTTGTCTGTCGACGTTCTTAAGGCTGGTTTCCCATATCTCGTATTGGCATATTTTGAGCCGTTATTTTTGTACTTTGTAAAACCGTCTGAGCGAGCAACTCTCAGTCTAACAATCTGCAGAAAACTCCGAAAATCGGTCGACATAGTGTTTCTTAATCGTGCCTATAACCTGGTTACCCTTCAAGCGAACAGACAGCTCATTTTTTCTTCTTCCCTTCTTATTCTTCACTTTTTTTGTAAAATCAGATTCTCTTTCGATATAACTCGAGGTAGTTCGGCGTATTGCAGAGATTTGGCAAGAGCTCATCGTGTTGCTGATCGTCTTCATGCTGGAAACGTCTATGTGAACACGTACAATGACGTCTGTAAGTTCTAGCTTTCTCCCGATGTTCGCTACTGCTTATATTCAAACCCGAATGCCATTATCCTATCAATAATGCCTCCAGCAGTTTTTAATTCATAGGCACAATGAAGTACGTATCGCAGTGCCTAGAGGCCCAGAATCGCAACTCCCCGTCCCCGCCAATCGAGCCGTTACCCCCTCCGGGGCCGACTGATTGGCACCATACTATTGGGTAAGACAAATACTCTGACATAGATATTGGCTGACCCTTTAAATCATGGTATGTAACAGGTATGCCTTCAGTCGTCTATTCAATTTTGCATGAAATTTTTATGCATTACGCACCTCTGTAAAGCTGTTCAATTCTGTCCGTTTTGTGTCCAATCGGAAAGTTCAAGAAGAAAAATTGTATCATAACTGAACATCTAACATTGCTGTGCAAAGCTTCATCAAAGTTCGATCGATAAGAGCACAGTAAGGCTTTCGAAGTTTTGTTTGCGAAGCTCAGAAGGATCCCATAAAAATACCAAAAGTACAGCGCACCATGTTCATAGTTATTCACCCATCGTCTTTTACCGCTGACTGCAGTCGATATGCTTAGCTTTTGTTATCATTACTTCACTTCAAGCTTTATTTCGGACCGTGTAATCAAGAGAACAACCAAGAGATGCTGGGTCATTTTTGGGATTTACTGGGAGGATCCAGAAATCGGAAGAAAAGGGGCGGAGCGTTCTCCAAATGGGCGGTGCTATAGGACCTGATAGCTGAGTTAGAATGTGGTTCAAAGAACTAGGAAAAAGTGTACTCTAAATTATGTAGTGCCTACTTAAAAACTTGCAGATTCCCACTATGTTCTTTAGCATGAATCATTGGATATGGTCCAATCACCCCATTGTGGGCTCCCTCTCGCAACTTTTGGTCGATTTTAGGCCTCTGACGTTTAACTGAAATTACACTTTCAGCACCGTTCGTACCCTTCGGCGGCTATGGCGATTCGGGTTTCGGCCGTGAGAATGGTGTCGCCGCTCTCGAACATTACTCCCAAATAAAGTCTGTGTTTGTTTCAATAGCATCAAAATTGGAAAATCCATTCAAGTGAGTACAACTAGTATGTTATGAGGTCTAACGGCCATGACAGTTTGCATTTTATGCTTAGTTACGGTAAATAGAGCATTATAGTATACGTTCCTCGATCTATTTTGAAAAAACTTCCCGAGTGGTGGTTTATTTACGTGTTCGTCAACTTCCTCTTTTTTGTGTTTGCCCAGCTTTTACCCAGTCGCCTCAGTCTGTTTTTCATAGTATAGAGTTTAAATAAGATATTTATATAAGGCAAATCTGTGCAATCATCAAGTCGAATAGAAGAGCCATTGCAACAAAAGGAGAAATATTATGAAGCAGTGACAAAATGGCAAGGAGATCAAACATATGATTAAAGGCGACTACAGCAATCGATACGTCAACAGAGATAAGCAAAATATGCCAACAGATGGTCAATATGCAAATGCGTATATGTGATGGAAATGCAGCAGTGAAAATATAGGCAATGATGGGCAAAATATTGAAAGATTATTTATTTTTGAACTTCTTTAGCAAATAGCTAAAGGCAATTTGAAGAGGTAAGTGCAATTTCTAAATAGTTCTGAAATCTAGCAATAAAACGTAAACACTTTTTTTCTGAAAAATTAGTTGTTATTAATAATTAGAGGAACAAATGAAACTTTGGGTCGTTTAGAACTTCACAAAAGAAACATTTGAATCAACTAAATACATAGGTTTAAATACATTTAGCTTCCGATTTTTGCTTTCAAAATGCAAAAGTGTGTGGTAGTATTGGGGTGTCTTAAAGGAAATGACTGTGTTTCCGCGTAGAAAGGCAAAGCGAAGCCAAAAAACAGCGCCTATAGTATAGTGCTGCCGAATTTCTCTATGTATGCAGGAAACAGAAAGTTATGGAAGAAATTTTTCAGAATGTTGAATTCAAATCCAAAATGAAAACTATCTTTTATTAGATTATCTTTTTCAGAACCATGATTACATGGCTGGCATACGCTGGCTCTATTTCTTAGTGTAAAATTGAATTGCTGTATTTGTTGACTAACGAGCATCGCATAGAGTTGTTAACTATTTGTTATGCATGGAAAACGAATTCGAATAGTTTCCAAACCAAGTGAATGAGTCGAACATGATGCTTTCTTCAGTCATTTTAAAAGTTAGAAAAATGAGCAGCAATTGAAAACCCACGAAGCAGCATGAGCATCTGATAGGCGATTTATCACATGTTTTCTTTAGAACGTTATTTTGCTAAAGGAGAGGTAACTCTGTAAGCCGATTTGAACAACAACATGAGAAAGGGAGGGTTTTTCGGGAAAATTGGCTCAAAAGCAAAAAAGGTAAATGATAAGTTCAAAGAAGTCCGAAAAACTCAAATGCCGCGAGCATTTCAACCAATCATTAGACAATCTTTTAGAATCAATTGTCTTAACGAAAATACTCTTAGTTTTACTCCGAAGCCCCTTGAAATATGTGACAAATCGCCTATGTATCGTTAGTTGCTACAACTCTTTGACTTCAACCGTAATAGCTGCATTAAGTAAGAGGATCGCAATAAAAATGAAAAATGAACCGTAATTTCAGACATATGGAACTATTCGCGGTGTACGGATCATAAAATGCAGCAACATGTGCTGTTGCTGTGGCAGTGATGGCACTACACCCGTACAAAATAATGTGGGCGAAAAAATCGTTGAAATATTCTCAACGCTCATCTTATTTTGAGCACTATGCTCTGCAACCTAAAAAACGCTATAAACAGTGAACTGTAAAATTGAGAGTAAATAAAAACAACTCGCCTTTCGTAAATGGATTAAAAGGGCATTAAGTGTGACGGCGTTCGCCTCGGAGAGTTCTTCCAGTGCTTTTCTAAATGCAGAAGATAAATAAACACACTCAAACTGTACAGCTTAAATATTAGGGAGGTCGTGTAATACTTGAAACCCACCGACAAGCTCTCGTTTTTTCATGTACACTTCGTGAATTAGCGAATGCCACTAGGAGCGCCTTATAAACACTAAATGGAACCAGCTGTTGTGGAAGTAGTCGTAGATACAGCTTAAGCAGGCCGCATACTGTGTGAATATCATCCACCTACAATATTGGTGCAAAATGAGGATTTTCCGAACGTGTAAGAATATAATCCCTCATAAAAAACATACAAACCCATGAATGAAGATGTACAAACCTGATTCAAATCTACACTTTGTTGTGAGTCAAACTGTCGCTTTAATTTTTCCATGTGCTCATGAGAGCCAGAAACTCTATATATACCTTCTACATTCAAACCACGCGCCTCCACCTGGAAGAAAGTTCGAATATCGTCAGATATGTTGGACAATTTTTGCTGGATCCCACTTCGTTAATACATTTAGTGACGACTGGAGGAATAGGTGTTGAATGTGCCAAGCAGAGTGTCGTGAGATCAACGGCGAACATTCTCTTCACATAACGAGCTTCAGGTCGACAATCGGGTAAAGTGTGCTCAGAACATCGCTTGTGAGCAGCAAAACCGCAATCTTCACATCGAACACCCTTGAAAAGACAATGACAATCAATAAAAGACATAAGTATGTAATAAACGTACACTGTTATAGAAGAACAACAAATTCGGTCTATTAACAAAGAGCTTCAGGCACAGTTTCCTCAAAGAACCATATCAAAAATGAAGGAAAACAGGAAAAGGAATCAATCTAACCTGCTGTACTAATCCCCACATAAAATTTCGGCAATAATCACAATAGTGTGGCATTTTGAACGTATACTGAGCAAAGCTATGTGAACGAGCTACTGGCTTTCGTTCACTACTCTTCGTATACTGCATATACGGACTGGAAAACACAAAACATCACAGACAACATTTCAAAATCAATCGATAAATGGGAAACTTACCTATGTTCATATATGGCTTCGTCAGCCATTCTCTTAATGTAATCTGATGCATGCTTGTCCATAAACATTGATATTAAGCCGTCAGCTACTAATAGTTCCATAGTTTCAAATCGTTTCTCACCCACATAATGAGTACCGTCGTAGTAAAGCTGAATAAGACATAGTCATAATTAGATAGATATGATATGGAAAAAATGGATGCCACAAAACAAGCCTCAGAATGTTTTGAGCAAACAAAATAGGAGTAAAGTTATAAAAACATTCGAAAATTGAAATAATTGCCTTGTAATTGAGCACTCGTCCATCGAAGAGCATACAAAGTGTGAATGCATCCTGAGAACGTTTAGATTCTCTCACAAGGAACGCTCCTTCACCAGCTTCCATGAGCATACGATCAGCCTAAAAGTTTTATTTTAATCGGTCAGAAACTGCAGTAGCTCCAATGAAAACTAAAGAAACTACCTCAACTCTATCAATGAGGCCGTGAAATTCACTTCCATACTGAGGAGGTCTGTTCTCAATGAAACGGTTACACTTGACAGCCAATGGCTTGGGTGCCCGTTCTTGTAACAAATACAGGTTTTGCTTCCAATAACCAAGGCCACCTAAATTGCATAATAGCTATAAAACATCTACCCGATCAATGTCGAGGGAAATTCCATAAAGGAATAGCAATGGACTACAGAAACCGTTCTACAAACCTATAGAGCCTCCAGTTCCACCGGTGTCGTCTTCCATTGGTGAGAGAAGACTAGCTACTTATTAATAACCACACCAGATTATCAAAATCACATATATAAGTTGGACACTGGAATCAAAATATTTTATTTGGCAATAAGAAATGCTTCGCATGGGAATCACATATAAATACACGAAGATGAATTTTAAGAAAACCAGCACATAATCGTATAAAAGTGGTCAAGGCTTCCTCGGAAAGCTCCTTCGATGAGAAAATTTAGGCGTTATAAAATCGGTTGCGACCTTTCCTGTACTACCGTAAGACTAAATAGTTTCCGGAGGCCAACAACCGAATTTGGGCTGCTCGGACTACTTACAGTGTTAGGTTTATTTGCTCTAGCAGCTCTTTCATAGCCAGATTCTAATGAAAATATTAGGTTTTATTCATGTCAACATCGCTGAGTAAACCAATGGCCTTCCCTTTATGTTCAATTCTGTCTTGATTTCGATGGTTATACGGTGATGTGTCGCAGGAATAAATCGTTTTCGTTTAAAGTTTTCTTCTTTTATTGTTATATCATCACGAGCTCATATGAAGTTGTTCAAATTTAGTTTTCCCACTTGGGTTAATTAACGATGATGGCGGCAATCTTATGGTTCGCCTTGGCAGTGACCGTGTCAGCTGACATCTATAGCTGTGGAGGTTTTGTAAAGTCGAGTGTGCCAATAGACTACTCAAAAATACAGGTATTCAAATTCAAAGTATAAAATTTCAAAAGAAAACCTTAAGCTGAGCAGCATCTTATCATTTGGGCGCTTTCTTCTGATCCATGTTTTGAGGGCTAAGGTTCCTGTATTTTGGATTATTTATGAAATCATGGTCTGTCAGTTTTAAATTAAGGTAAAACTTCTTACTCCTGAAGGGCATCTTAAACATGAAGAGGAATGCAACCCGAAGAATGGTTATTATATGATTCCAATATACAATAAGGGCCAATATTCCTTGAAAGTCTCTGCTCCGGAAGGATGGTACTTTGGTGAGAATTTCTTTTGTGGACTTTAATTACAAACCAATCTACTTGAAAAAATTGAGCCCCATTTCAGAACCGGAAACTGTAGACTTCAAACTTGATGGTGTGAATGATCCGTGTACAAAAAATGAAGACATCAATTTCTCATTGACAGGTGATTTAGGAAACATAACTAACTCAAAAGCAGTAATGACTGTTGTGGTTTTCAGGGTTCTCTATCAGTGGAATCGTTAATGGGGGTACAGGAACTGGACCAGCAGGGCTTTCGCTGACCCTCAAACAGAATGGCAAAGTCGTAGATACGGCGACAACTGTCGAAGGAGGAAAGTATTCATTCAAAGCAGTTGCAGGTAGCTCAGGCGAAACTCTAGCGTTGATTTTTTTTCTCTTAATGTTATGGGGTTGAAGCTTTTATATAGCGTCCCTTTCTCACATTTCAACTGGTCATTTTTACTTTATAGGAAAGTATGAAGTATCTACAGGAGCAGATTCTTCTGTATGTATCAGTCATGGGAAGGCCTTAGTTGAGGTTTGTGACCTTCTTCTTCTCTGACGACCACAGCTCTGTATGTCCTTAGGTGTTTAACGAATCTCGTGGGTAAAATTCATACGTAAATTAGTAAAATTCGTAAAATTTTTTCTTGTTTATTTGATGTATTGAGAGAATAAATGATGAGATTTTGCTTTTCACACGTTGACTCTGTTTGTGTGAAAGTGTTATGTCCATGGGATGAAAAAGTGCTTTGTGTAATATTTACCGTTGTCAAGAACATTACGGTAACTAGAATGATGTGAAAATAGATAACATTGCACCACATACTGTTTCTGAATCAGCTTTTGATGGTTTCTAAGCAGAAATGTGCATTCATTTATGTTCGCGATCCATAGTTGCTAGAGAACTGAAATAGCAAACATTTGGAACTATAAGCGTGCAAAGTCGTATTCTATTTAAATCCTATAGTGATGGACTCTTCGACGAGCCTGATAATAAGGCTGGGCCGAATTCATCTAAGATGTTCTCAATATTAACATTTTTAGGTCACAAATGCTCCGGTTATTGTGAAGCCGGATCTACGCATAGCTGGC